AGCCCTCGGCTACCTTCTTCTGCAATTCCTCCATTTTGGCCATCATGGCCTCGTATTTGAGGTCTGAATGAGGGGTGGAGGTGGTGGTGTGAGCTTTGTTGGCCTCCATTTCATCAAGCCGGCGTTGGAGGGCCACAATAATTTCGTCCTGGGGGTCCTTCGGGAGGGTCTCCGCCCCCTGCGAACGAACCCGGGCCGAGTGGGCCTGGTTGATTTGGTGGCGAGCATCGTCGGCATGAAGGGGTGCCTTGCCTTTGTCCCGATGGGGACGCTCCTCGTCTGCCCTCGAGACAGACCCTCCGCTTTCCTGGGGCCTTTGGAGTGCTTTTCCTCCGAGGCGGTCTTGGACCCCTCGGCGGTCTTGCCCCCCTCCGAGCCGGTTGAGGGCGGAAGTGCGGGGCCTCTCTCTGTTGTCATTGTGGCGGTCCCGGGACTGAACTTCCTGGGAGGCCGTATCTTGGGCCACTACCCCTTCGTCATTCCTAACCCGAGGGATGGGATTTCCGAAGGGGTGTGGCAGAGGGGGAAGCGTGATGTTCTCCCCAACCTGGGGTGGAGCCGGAGCAAGGGTGCCGAAGGCACCCGGGTTCTGAGTTAGCGTCTGGATGAAGGCGGAGAGCGCCGAATGTACGTCGATGGTAAGGACCGGGGGGCTGACTTGGTCATCGCTCCGGTTTCTCTTCTTGGCCTCGATGCCAAGGCGGGCATCGGGGGCATTTTGCTGGATCTGAAGGCGTAGGTCGACAGCCGCCTGTTCCAGCCCAGCGATGACACCGCCCTCGGGAGCCCTGTGAGAGGCTTCGGGGGCGTTGACGTCGCCGAGGGCCAGGTTCTTGTCTTCTACGTTTTTGGAGTTGGCACGTGTTGTTCTCACCATTTTGGTAGAGGGCTAGTGTTTGGCGAAGGGGGAGGGTTTCTTACTTGATTGTTCGAGCTCTCAACGAGAGCACCAAATGATGGATAATGTACCCGGGGGGTAGCTTATCCGGGGGGTTATTGCGGGGAATAACAAGAGACAAGTCAGAGCAAGTAAGAGAGAGAAAGTATATTGAGTTGAGGCGTTAAAGCGTTTTCAGCGTGGTTACAAATGGGGAAAAGGGGTGCTATTTATAGTAGCAATAAATGGCGGACAGGGACACGTGTCAAACGTCCATTGGCCGAGAGGTCATCTGAACTAGTTGGCGCTGGCAGCCGCATGTGGCCGCATTTAATGCGGCTGTTGGATGGGACGTTGTACAGGGTACGGTGATCTGTACGCATGTGACGCGGATATCATGTCGGGAGAGGTGCCTTCGGCTATAGAGTAGTAGCCGAAGGCTCCTCAAGCCGAGGGCTCCTCAAGCTGAGGGCACCCTGGTGCCGAGGGCTAGTGATTTTCGCCGTTTTCCCCAGTCATCTTGTTTTCCTGTTTTGGCCCTCCTGTGGGAATTAGAGCCCTCGGCCAGGGGCCGAAGGCGCCCCTGGTGTGCATTGTGGGCTGCTTGGTACTCTGGGCGCTGTGATTTGGGCCTGTTGGGCCTTCTGGGCCTGTTGGGCCTTGTTTGGAGTAGTAGGAGTCTGTGGGCCGGGGGTTCCCGGGCCATATACTCCATCACATACAAACTTAGCCTCTTTTCGAGTGAGCTTTGTCAATGGTGGCGCCAAAACTGAGAATTTCTCCACGAACTTTCTATAATAGCCCGCCAATCCGAGAAAACTACGAATTTGCTTGACGTTCTTTGGCCTTTCCCATTCGGTGATGGCCTCGATCTTCTTGTTGTCAACTGCAAATTCCCGATCCCGAAAGTACATGCCCGAGAAAGCCAATCTCTCTTAGCCAAAATTCACATTTGGAAAATTTAGCATAGAGCTGCTTCTCCCGTAGTGTCTCAAGGACAAGTACTAAGTGCTCCTCATGCTCTTCTTCACTCTTTGAGTAAATCAAGATGTCATCTATGAACACAATCACAAACCGATCCAAGTATTTATGAAATACTCGATTCATCAAGTCCATGAATGCCGATGGGCGTTTGTTAGCCCAAATGACATGACTAGGAACTCAAAGTGACCATACCTTGTGCGGAAAGCATTCTTCGGTATGTCATCCTCCTTTATCTCCAATTGATGGTACCCCGATCTCAAGTCAATCTTCGAAAACAATGTTGCTCCTCGGAGCTGATCAAACAAGTCATCAATCCTAGGTAAAGGATACCTATTCTTGATTGTGACCTTGTTCAGTTGACGATAGTCAATACACATTCGAAGCGTCCCATCTTTCTTTTTCACAAATAACACTGGTGCTCCCCACGGGGAGTAGCTCATCGAAGGCCTCCTGGCATTCTGACGTCCATTGGAAGCTGGCGGTCTTCCTCATGATCTGGAAGAAGGGGAGGGACTTTTCCGCCGACTTGGACAGGAAGCAGTTGAGGGCTGCTAGGCGGCCTATCAGCCGCTGAACCTCCTTTACGTTGTGTGGGGGCTCCATGTTGATGATGGCTTGGATTTTCTCGGGGTTGGCTTCGATACCTTATCGGCTCACCATGTAGCCTAGGAATTTGCCTCCTTGCACGCCGAAGGTGCATTTCTTCGGGTTTAGTCGAAGGTTGAATTTTTGCATGATGGTGAAGATCTCCCGGAGGTCGTCAGCGTGGCTTGATGATTGTTTGCTTTTGATGATCATGTCGTCAACATTGGCCTCCATGGTGCGCCTGAGGACGGCTTGAAAAACCCTGGCCACCATCCGGGTGTAAGTGGCGTCGGAGTTCTTCAGGCCGAAGGCCATGACTAGATAACAGAATATGCCTCCGGGAGTCATGAAGGCTGTTTTTTCAGCGTCTTTCTCGTGCATGAAGATCTGGTGATATCCACAGAAGGTGTCGAGGAATGACATGATTTTGCATCACGCCATTTCATCCACCAGTTGGACAATATTTGGCAGCGGGGAAGGGTCCATGGGGCACGCCTTATTTAGATCTGTGTAGTCCACGCACATGCGGAAGGTGGGCGGCTTTTGTGCGAGGACTACGTTAGCAAGCAGTCACGAGGGGTATTTCACCTCTTTGATGTGTTTGATGGAGAGGAGCATGACAACCTCCTTCTTCATGAAGTCCCTTCTTTCAGCCAAGAGGGGCCTTCTTCTCTGTTGTACGGGTTTGGAGGAAGGGTCCACCACGAGGCGGTGGGTAATAACCCTTCGGTTGATGCCCGGCATGTCCTCCGACCCCCATGCAAAAACAATGGAGTATGCGCGGAGGGCATCCGTGATGCCGGTCTTCAAATCTTCTGGGAGCTTGGCTCCTATCTTCACGACTCTCTCCGGCTTTGCCGGATCGAGCGCGAAGTCTTCAATCTCCTCAGTTAGTTCAGCCCTCAGTCTCTTCTCTTCTTCCTCAACAGTCCCGGTGATGGTGTCTACCCGGAACTCATTCTTACTAACCTTCTTTGTTATCTGAAGATAGCAGACGCGAGCGAGCTTTTGGTTTCCCCTCGAGTACCCGATGCCTCCTTCAGCTGGGAATTTCAGACATAGGTGCCTCATGGAGATGATAGCCTCCAGGTCCTCGAGGGTGGGGCGGCCGAGGATGAGTTTGTGGGTGCAGTCAATGTTGACGACGACGAACTGCACTTCGAGCTTGGCCCTATGGAGCCCGTCGCCGAAGAGTACCGGGAGGGTCACCACCTCCTCGGAATCTATGGTGTCTCCGGTGAAGCCGGACAGGGGGGTCCGGATGATCCATCCGGGGGTTCGTCTGTTAGTCCCTAAATGCGGTGGGTGGATGTGACGCCATATTAAATGCGGTGGTTGGCTGTCTCTAAAAGGAATCTTCGTCGATAGTTCTGTTACCGAAGGTATTGTGTGGTCGAAGCCATCATGTGGCCAAAGGCATCAGGGGGGGGGGGGGGGGGGGCGAAGGCATCGGGTGGCCAAAGGCATCGGGTGGCCGAAGGCTAACATTTTAGCTAGGATTTTCCAGAAGCTTTGCAGGACCATATTAAGATGTCTCCCAGAATTTGGAGCCCTCGGCCATAGGGCCGAAGGCATCGACGTGTGCAGCGTGGGCTTCTTCATGCTTGGGCCGCTACGTTTGGGCTTTGTGTGCTCATCGGGTTTAATGGGCCTGTGTAGAAGAAGCGGGAGTCTGTGGGCCGGGGTGTCCTGGGCTATATACTCCATCAGGAGTCCCCCACTCCTTTTGCCGAGAGTTTCTCGAGGGAAATATGAGTAGTGTCTTGAAGTTGCCGATGGCTCCCTTTCTGCAACTGAAGAATAAGAATTTTCAAGTTTGATTATTTTTTCTGAAGGGAGTAGATTGTCGTTGTGATCTTGCCTCAGCTTGCTGTAGCTGAGAAATAGAAAATTTTTAACATTTGCGTGTTTTGCCGAGGGGAGTCCCCCAGTCCCCCACTCCTTTTGCCGAGAGTTTCTCGAGGGAAACAGGAGTAGAGTGATGCATGCCTTCAGCAGGAGCTGCCAATGGGTGACGCCTTTTGTTCCACAATGGGGAGATGCCTCGTTAAAACCTCATTAGGAAAAAACCTTGTGGGAAAAAATCCTAATGAGGGAAAAAGAGTACATCGGATGCCTGAGGGATGAAGGCCGAGGGCCTGTATGATTGCCCCGGCATCAAATAAAGATGTTGAAGGGGCGAAGGCCGAGGGGCTTGTATGATGGCCCCCGACATCAAATATTTGATGTCGGAGAGATGTAAGGCCGAGGGCCGTTGCGGAATCATGCTGAGGCCGAGGGCCGTTGGTGATGTAAAATCACGTTTAGGTCGAGGGCCGTTCGTGATGTAGAGTCACGCTGAGGTTGAGGGCCGTTCGTGATGTGAAATCATGCTAAGGCCAAAAACGTTGTGATGTAGAGTCATGCTGAGGCCGAGGGCCGCTGTGATGTTAAGGCCGAGGGCCGTCGTGATGGGGAGTCACGCTGAGGCCGAGGGCTGTTGGTGATGTGGAATCACGTTGAGATCGACGGTTGTTCGTGATGTTGAGTCTTAATATTGAACAGAATATGGACACGAAAAAGCCTTTGTTGAAGTTGTCTAAAAAATAGGACAACTTCAATATTGAACAAAATACAATAACTTTCATATTAAGCTAATAGGAACTTTAAGATCGATACTTTGGAACTCAATGGAAATGCGTTGGTAATTGTATATCTCTCACAATTTATATAAATATAAACAACACAACTGTATAATTAAGAAATAATTCCATCCTTCTGAATTCTATAAATGTAAATTTAGATGTATAAATATGGCTAGAAACTTCAAACCAGATCTGCGTATACTTAAGTAATGGTATAGCAAACCATTTCTCATCCCTAAATTTTCATGTTAATATTTCAAAGTTGAAGAGATATAGCCTTTCTCAGCTCATTGATGAGTTCTCTGTTGCAGAATTTTCTGTCCCATATACCTGCATCACAATATAAGTAGGTAAATATTAAAAATAAGACTCACTAATTTAATGACCCATCATTTAGTTACACTAATTATTGATGCAACCGTATACTTCTTTTTAGACAACATCAAATCAATTTTCTCAAGTGAGCCGAATTGACTTTGTATATCATATATAAAGACAAAATTATATTATAAAAATGACAATGTAATATAAAGAATGTTCCAAGACTTATTTTTATTTTGGCAAAAATAATTGTTTTATGTTCCAAGACTTAATATATGTGTAATTTTTAGTCATAGATGACTTCAGTGACATTTCGCATAATTAAGGCGTTGACCTGTCAGGGTAGGATTACTTTAGGGTTATGGTGGGCTCAAGCCTAAGGCGACTATATTTTTTTCAAGTTCTTAATGTAACTTTTTTTTTCATTTTTCATAGTTTGCTCATCCTATTAATGTTGTATGTTTAAGTCTAGTATATTTACTATTCCGCCCACTCCAATCTAAATTCCTGCATCCGCCCCTAGATTAGCTTTTTTCAAATCGTGACAAGTGTGATTTCAATACAACATAATGACTTGTCATCTACTTAGCTAAACCAAATAGACACTATATAGATACAAAGGGCGGATCATATTAGGCTGGCCTGACAGGAACCTGCGTCAGGCTGAGACCATTTGAGGTCCTTCCCGATGGAATTATTTGATTAAATTTCTTGAGTATGTTCCTCATCAAGTAGTTTATCCATACCAAATTTCAGCTAAAAATTCAATCGGAAAGACAGTTAAATAATTTCTTTACAAAAGTTGTGTTATATATATATATATATTATCATCGCAACTTTTTTCAACAATTTATTTGACTTCCTTACCATTGAATGTTTAGCAGAAATTTAGTATGCATAACCTAGACTTGATAATGAACATGCTTAAAAAATTTCATCAAAAAGTTCCATCGAGAAGGATCTCAAATGTCCTCTGTCGAACGGCAAGTTCTGTTAGACCGGCCTGACAGGATCGCTACTCTATCCATACACACATGAACTTTATATGTGCAAGCTGTGCGTGCATACACATACATATAGCTAAACTACAGGAATGTGTATGTATATATGCATGTATGTGTGTATGTGAACTTATTTTCTAATGATTTACCTTCCAAGCATCATGACGGTGGCCTGAGGGTTGGTTCCGGGGGAGAAAGAAAACGTGGAGCCGTCAATAACCCGCAACGCATCGATGCCAATTACTTTATAATCGCGATCCACAACCTTACCCACTTGGCAACCTCCATGGTAATGCCATATGGTCATAACGTTGTCGATGCAGAATTGCTCCAAGGAATGATGAGATAGAGAGGTAAAGAGTTTGGGCCTCATGTTTAAAGGAAGTGTTGTGATGATATCCAGAAGCGCTTCAAAAGAAGTGAATGGGTACAAAAATGAGGATAAGGGCTCTGCTTCAACCACTCTTTTTATGACTTCCATTCCTTGCACACAACTCTGAAGGTCTCTTGGGTCTTTGAAGTAATTGAATGTCACTGTGGGATTCTCATTTGGGTCTCTACTATTCAGTTCCAAGTGCCCCTTAGAGAAAGGTCCTTTCACCTTTTCCAGTATGAGCCCACCTTGAATCTTTGTATCCTTAAACAGGTCCCCTTGGAATGAGGCTTGCAGAGCTTTCGCTAAGGCCGTGTTTGGGGCCAAATGCAATCCACTCCCTGTTTCAACATAACTTCCAAATTCAGTTATGCCAACCACCTGAACTAGTGCAGTCTCCACTGACTTAAGTGAAGGCATTACGATTCCATTCATTGGGTTGTCTGACATGTCTTGGCCCACCATTTCTTGGTCCAGTATGACGTTAATCCCTTGTGATTTGAGATGATCAGACGGCCCAATACCACTCAACATCAACAGTTGTGGACTACCCAATGCTCCAGCTGAAAGAATGATCTCATTCTTAGAACCCGGGTTCAAATATGACGTGTGCCCATTGCCCTTTGAGTCTTTGAAAAAAACTCCATAAGCCGTTGGTCTTTTCCCTGAAATGGTACATATAATTTAGTGTAACTGTTTAATTAAAGACATACATTTACTCATTTAGGATGTTTTTACTTAGATTGTTTTCAGTCAAAACTAGACTTAAACAGATCAGACTAGATCAGACTTAAACAAATCAGACCAGATCAGATTTAAACAAAACCAGACCAGACCAGACTTTCGTAGTTATAAAATACACAGAGACCAAACATTTACCAGACTAGACCAGGCAGTACAAACCAGACCAGCAAATTTCAGTCTAAGTAAAAACATCATTAGGGCGGATCTTGAATTTGGGCTAGATTGATCCGAAAATTAATTATACTAGACTTAACAATAGAAGATGAAAAGTAAACAATTTACATTAAAGTTTAAAAAGATTAAAAAATTAAGTTGCCTGCGCTTCATCTCAAGATAACCCTAATTTAGATCGCTGATGTTTTAGAATCCCAAAAGGACATTAGTATAGAATCTCAAAATAAGCTTTTGTTGTTTATCAATGTACTTCGCACTTTTCTTTTTAGGTGACAACTTCGGTACCCATTTAAAAAAATGGGGTATCGTACCTACCATTCATTTGATTGGTTCAAATAGGTATATCATTTTTAATTTAGACTTAAATAATTCAACTGCAACACTTTCATTGGTCCACGTAGACAAAGGTACGGTACCTTATGAGTACCATAGAATCTACCTTCTTTTTAATACCCCTTTGAGAGTCTTGAACACCATTTTAACAACAAAACATGCATAATCTTCCGTTCTTAGTTTTTCGTGTCACTTTATTTCTTAAAAATGCTTGTTATTTCCCCAGAAGACCTATACTAGTAAATTGAATTATTACCTTTTTTCGTATTAACTCCACTAAAAATCTCTACAAAATTATAAACAATAGAGTTATCAAATGATGTTTCCTTTTCATAAAAAAATATCTGGAAAGTCAGACCGACTGAAAATAAAATAATATAATAAGAAAATAAAATACAATAATAAAGAAATGATATAAACTGTGGAAAAGCCCGCATTAATTAATTTTGAAAGAGGAGATCATCATTTATTTCGATACTATTCAGTGTTCATGCATGCATAATTTCTTCCTATCTGTTTGTAGTTAATTAAGTACGCCCATACTCCAACTTTGAACCATAATACTAAACACGTCTAGCTCGTTCAATGCACGATTTAGTCCTTTTATGGAGTAGAATTTCTTTCTTTTATTAATTGTCATGACTTATTTGTAAACATAGCAATTATTTAAGAAATGAGAACACGAATGTTCCGATGAATAATAAAATTAATATTTAAAACAACAAAGTTAAAAGGAATCACATTGGAAGTGGATGGTAACATTGTAGCTCTATTTGAGAGGGAGGTAATATATAGAGAAAATATATTACCTTAAATGATTGAAGCTAGGATTGACAAAATACCGATTCCAATTCCATTTTCATAATTAGACTCATTTCAACCCCAAATGAGACCACGTAAGAAGAGACTAAACAAGAGTTAAGAAGCCAGAGCAGAGCTGAAAATATTTGTCTTCCATAATACTAAAATACATATTCCTTTTCTCTCAATTTACTTAGCCATCTTTGACTTTTACAGTCAAATATGGTAAACTTTGACCAATTATTTAAACTAATATATTTATGCAAAATTTAATAATTTTATACTTATATGATAGTATTTTTAACAAATAACATTTTCATATCATTTTCATATTATTAATACTTTCTGTATATAAACATATAATTAGTCAAAGTTAGACTCCATTGACTTGAAAAGTCAAGATTGGCTAAGTAAAATTGGACGGAGGGAGCATAAAATAAAAATTTACTATAGTAAACTAGACTAAACTTTAAAAGATCAGATTAGATCATACTACATCCATCCCATTTTAGTTAGCATCTTTGACTTTTCGCGTCCAAGATGATAAACTTTGACATTTCCAGTCAAAGATGATAAACTTTAAACAATTATCTTAACTAATACTATCGTATATTTATGCAAAATTTAATAATTTGATACTTTTATTATAAAATTTTTAACAAATAATATTTTCATATTATCATATACTTCCTCCATCCCGAAAAGGTTGACCAAAGTTGACTTTCGCCTGAATTAATAAAGTAAAAATTGTGTGGTTAAAATTTATGCAGAGGAGAGAGAATTAAATTTAGCCACACATTCCTTATTTTAAATGGAAATGACAAATCTTTTTGGGATATCCAAAAAAGGAAATTTGGCCAACCTTTTCATGACGAATAGAGTATGTATATATATATATATATATATATATATATATATATATATATACATATATTCAAAGTTAGACGGCATTAATTTGAAAAGTCAATTTTGACTAACTAAAATGGAACTCGCCAAGTACTAAATAACAATATTTGAACCTATTTTTGTGGACAAAATTAAAGAATGTATTTAACCATTTGTAGTAAAGACAAAATGTATAGATCAAACAGTAATAGTGAAAGAAAGTAAAACGACAGGAGATTGAATAAAGTGATTTGACCTGGGGAAGACGTCCGAAACAAGATTTGGTGAACAACGGCATGCAAATATACAGTAATTTGGGACTCGTCGGCGTACTCCAGCAAATCGGCGGCGGAATGCCGAACCCCATTTTCGTCGTAGATGGAGCTCCCCGTTTTGGTGCCCTGCAAATGCTCATTCGTCCACCCCCTGTCCGGCCCCACCCCCGCCTCCAGCAGCCCCTCCCTCACCGCCGCCTGCCACCCCTTTACCTGCGGCCGGAAAGCCACTTTCCTCTCCGCCCACTCGTACGACTCGTTTACCAGCTGCGGGTCCCATCCCGCCTCTGCCACCTCATCGCTGCTGGCTCGCGTGAAGAACCCGGCGTTTATCGCCGAGCTCCCTCCGAGAACGCGCCCGCGGTGGAGGTACACGCCGTCTGTGGAGACGAATAATTGTGAGGCGGAGGTCGGGGAAATGTCGGCCAGTGTGGGCCCGAACCCACTTATGTGTTGCACATTTGGGTAGTCGTACGGCAGGCCGCCTCTCTCTAGGAGTAGTACCTTTGCGGAGGTGGAAAGCGTTGCCGCCAGAGCACATCCGGCGGTTCCGCCTCCGACAATTATGTAGTCGTAGTACCCTGCTTCCGCTGCCGCTGACGTGGCATCTTTTGCAAATGAACTGTATGGCGCTTCAGTATATAAAAACAACATATAACTCCATTCGTTAGCAAATTATAATTCAAATTTAAGGATATATTGGCATTAAACAAAGAGCACATAATATAACTCTAAGCACATAAAAAAACACATCACCAATCGACTCTTAAAGAAGTTTACACTGTGACTTCACATATATTAAGAAAATAAATTTGATTTTACTATAGAGTACATTGTTTGCAGGGGCGGATCCAGGAAAATCATTTTGGGGGGGGCGAAAATATTTTTTGAGGGTTTCAAAATACTTTTTGGAAGAGCAACAATTATTTGTCGTATATATATACACTAAAAAAATTGTTGGGGGCGGTAGCTCTTCTGGGTCTCTACTACGGTCCGCCTCTGACTGTTTGACACTGTTTGACACTGTTTGGTGTAGATTTGTTTGTCAAATAAGGCAAATAAGGAAGTGTAAAGTTTAATATGGGTCGACCCAAAAAGGAAAGTGTAAAGTTAATTAAGGACCAGAGGGAATATGTTTTTATGGGACCGATCAATATATTTCTCTAGTTCTTTAATAATTGCAACACTTTGAATATTACACTATTCACATATCTTACTTTGATTATCATTCTCTACTACTCCGTAATATATATACTCCGTACAATCAAATTATTATGTACGTAGTATAATATACCTAATACCGTTATATAATTTTGGAAAGATGTGCCTATTCAAATATATTTCAAGTCTCTCATTTTATGTGCGCTTGAATATTTGGATGAAATATAATGAGAACAAAACTGGATGCATGACTACTACCTACTAATTAAAACAAGTCTTTAAAAATTCAACACTGTTGCAAGTACACAATTAATTAAATGGAAATCTATGAATTATTGAACAAATTAATTAAAGTAACAAACATTATGAACAAGTTAGAAATGTCACAGGGAAGGATTTTATGTACCTTTTTCTGCAAGAGAAGATATGATAATCAAGAAGAAAATTCCCAGAGAAGATACAACAAAGGGAAACCAGTTCGCAAAGGCCATAATATATGTAATGAAATTAAATATATGTATTTTGATGAGTACTGAACGTACAAATACGTATGGAATGAACAGTGCAGCTCTCTAGCAAAGGATGGAGCTGCATGCAACGGGACTAATTAAGCTAAGCTTGTCTGGGCATAGACTTTTGCAACATTGCACTATTTTTCCGAAGAAGGAAGCAGGTTTATATAAGAAATATGAGAGGATACTGTTAATTAAGAATTAAGACTTTAATAAGCTAGGAGTCCATGCATTCGGCTGGGAGTTGGGAGAAACTTAAAATAGGTAAGGAATTCCTTAAATAACACTAAACATAGACAAATTTATGATTAGGTCCATCATTTTATCTTCCTAAAGTAGAATTCCTCCATTCATAATTGGGAAGTTTTACACTTGTAATAAGACCAAATGAGCCATATTTTGAGAATAAAGCATAGCTTATGTTAAAATGTAATTCAAATATGCTTTAGTAATATTGTGTGTGTTGGTGTAGAGAATAATGTACACGTGACTATTCATATACTCCCTCCGTCCCTTAAAACTTTGTCATCTTTCATTTTTGGGACGTCCCAAAAAACTTTGCCACTTTCCCTTTTAATCAAGGAATTTTATCAATTTGGGACCTGAAAGATAGACAAATTATCAATTCGGGACCTGAAAGATGAAATGTATCAGTATAGGACTCTAAAGATGAAAAACTGTCAATCTAGGACCTAATATTTCACAGGTTTTGATTTATTTATTTTTTTTATTAATTCCATTGCTAATATTTGGTGAAATTTTGTTCACAAAAGTTTATTAGTTTAATAAAATTAAATATTATTTAAATTTTTTAAAATAAAAATAATAATAAGATTTATGAAAACATAGGTCCTAAATTGATAGTTTTCAATCATTCGGGTCCTAGATTGATAGTTTTCCATCATTCGGATCTTATATCGATACATTTCATCTTTCAGGTCCCGAGTTGATAGTTTGTCTATCTTTCAGATCCCGGGTTGATAAAATTCCTTTAATCAATTATTTTGTGGTTTCTGTTATTTCTCTCTCCTCTGCACAAAGCTTAACCACACATTTTTTACTTTATTATTCTCCGTGTTGGTCAACTTTGGCAAAGTTTTAAGGGACGTAGGTAGTATAAGAATAGTACATGTATGGTATGGTGTGTGTGGATTTTTAATTCTCAATAAGATCCTCTCTCTTTCTTCTCTAACTGTGAGTTCATTACATAATTGTTTTTGTTCCATCAACTGGTATCAGAGCTTCTCATTCCTCGGTACTTGTGTGATTTCTTCTGATCGATGAGCTGGTGGAAGGTAAATCGAAGGAAAATCGATGTCAAGTTCAAGCGGAAACTTCTTCAGAAATCTACCAATTCTTGATGCGAAGAATTGGGATAAATGGTGGATTCAAATGAAAGTGATCTTTGGATTCCAAGAAGTGCTTGAAGTGATCGAAGATGGACTTCCTCACCTAGGCGATAACCCTATTGAGGCTGAAAGACGGTCTCACTGTGAGGCATACAAGAAGGATTGCAAGGCGTTGTTTCTGATGCATCAATCTGTAGATGATGCAAATTTCCAAATGATTTCTGCTGCAAAAACTTCCAAGGAAGCCCGGAAAATATTAGTATAGTGTCATGAAGGAAATGAGAAGGTTAAAAAGGTACGGTTGCAGTCTTTAAAACGCCAATTTGAGTTATTAAAGATGCAATAACCTAAAACAATAGCTGATTACTATAATAGAGTAGTCACTCATGTAAATGCCATGCAAGGGTGTGGTGCTGAGATTAAAAATTCTGAAATAAATGAAAAAGTGATGAGGAATTTCCTCAGGAAGTTTGACCATATATCCGTTGTCATAGAGGAAGCACATGATATTACATCCTTGACAGTATAAGGACTGAAAAGTGCGTTGGAAGTTCACGAATGGAAGTTCATGAATTGAAGCTCAAAAAATTTGATGCTAAGAAGAGAGCTTACAAAGGTAAAAGGAAGTGGAAAAACAAGAAAGTGAATGGTGCTAAGAATTCTGATAAAGATCAAAACAATTCAAGGAAAACTGGGGGGAAGAAGAAGATATTTGATAAAAGCAAGATTCAGTGTTATAATAGCAACAAATGGGGTTATTTTGCAGATGAATGTTAGCATGGTGAAAGAATAGATAAAAGCAAGATAAAGAAGAACACCAAAGAAGAAGAAGTTTTTGTTGTTGCACAGGAAAATTCTGAGGAAGAGGAACCTGTAGTTTTGATGACTACTACTTGTGAAGAATCAGAAGACAATGATATCATGTATCTTGACACTGGTTGTAGCAATCACATGACAGGAAATAGAACTTGGTTAGCAAATTTCGATGAAAAAAAGAGGTGTAGTGTGAAGTTTGCTGATTTGAGTGCAATTAATGTGGAAGGAATAGGTGATGTGGTGATGACTGGGAAGAATGGTAAGCAATTGATACTCTACTGCTTAAAGTTCCATTGTCCAGGAATAGAACCTTCAAAGCATGCATTAAAACTGTAGAAGTTCAGAGTTTGAAGACCAGCTTAGCAAGTGATGAGAGCTGGTTATGGCATGCTAGCTTTGGTCATCTGAATTTCAGAAGCTTGCAACAATTACATGAAAAAATGGTGATTGGAATTCCACATATTAGCCTACCTGCAAAGATATGTGGAGATTGTACAGTTGGCAAGCAACATAGAGAATCCTATAAACATGTAGTTCCTGAAAGGTCTTCAACGGTGTTGAATGTGATCTTTTCATATGTTTGTCGACCGTTTGAACAAGCTTCTCTGGGAGGTAACAAATATTTTGATACTTTTATTGATGGCTTCAGTAGAATGATATGGATATACATGCTGAAGGTGAAGAGTGATGTGCTAGGTATATTCATTAAGTTTAAGAATTTAGTTGAAAAAACAAGTGGTAATTCAATTAAAAAATTTAGAACTGATGGTGGAGGGGAGTATTCATCTGTTGAATTTCAAAAAAACGTGATAATCATGGTATTATACATGAAATTAAGCTCCCTATACTTCTCAGCATAATAGAGTTGCTGAGAGGAGAAATAGGACCATTTTGAATATGGTTAGGTGTATGCTTAGGGAGAAGAATGTGCCCAAATTGTTGTGGGGAGAGGCTGCTAATACAACAGTATATCTACTTAAAAAATTCTACAAAGAAGTTGGATGGCAAAGTACCTGAGGCAGCCTGGTGTGGAGTGATACCAAGTGTGAAACGCCTCAAAATCTTTCGCAGCTTGTGCCACAAACATATTCCTGATCAAAAGAGGAAGAAGTTGGCCGGATGATAAAGGGATTCCAATGAATCTTGTTGGATATCATTCAGTAGGTACTTACAAGTTGTTTGATCCCGTGAATAGGAGTTTTGCATATAGCAAGGATGTGATGTTTGATGAAGTACATATCTGGGATTAGAGTGTACAAAATAAAACCAACATGAGACACGTCCATGTAGTGACTAGAGATGCTCTGGAATTGAATAGTGAGGATCAAGAACAGGTTCGATATTGGTTTTCTAATTTGTACGGTAAGAATCCAATTCCTAATCAAGTTAGGTTAGATATTTAGGCTAGAAGAGGATTATTATAAATACTCTTAACATGTAATCTCACGTTATTGTCTTCTTATTTCGCTCTCTGTTCTAACAATAATATTTCTCATCATTTTCATTTTTGTTTCTATTTGAGTCACTAGATCACAAATGTAATGCATTGTGTTAATTCTAGTTTCTCAAATGATCTTATTATTTTGACCAAATCATACTACCTCTGTCCCGCTATGATTGTCCCATTTTACCTTATCGTCGTGTCCTACTAAGATTGTCTCATACAAAATTTAGTAAAGTTTGTGTGGCTCTAAATCATTCTTACTTTTTTCTTACTTTATCAATTAAATATCAACCACATAAATCACTTTTTATTATTTTGCGTGTCATTCCCTCTTATCTCAATGTGCACATACATACGTATCTATGTATGCATGTGTA